CAAAATGTGCTTAGTCATGACTCGACCATGAGTCTTCTTCCCGTGGAGCGTATTATTCAAAGGCACAGGTATAACCACGTTCTTTTTTAACTATTTTAATCCTATCTCTTAAATACATCATCACCATATTTTGAATGTTCTTTCTCATAAAGGTTTTTGTAATAGAAAGCCTACCGGCTTTCTTGAAGGCACAATGGTTTTCTTCATTATATATGCGAATGCTGTGGGGTTGACCACCCCTCCCCCCATCAGCGTGTTTACAGTGCTTTTATGACAGGCACTATGGTTGCAGAATGAACATCTTCCTAGGACACCGTTGGTGAAGACATACAAATAGGTACCGTTCGTGGAATACGGCAGAAACACTAGTGCATTGTGGAGTTCCCTATTACAGTGTAGAACTGACGACTCAAAGTTTTCCTTCGTGGGAGTAGCCCTCGAGGAGGTATCTTGGTCGGAATCCGTTTCTTCAATCTATACTGTGTTTGCCAGGGCTGGTTGTCGTTTTCATTCCATACACGAACTTTTTGGATGTACACTAGCTGCAGATCCCATATATACTGATGTATCTACTGCTTCAGACGCGAGGCTACAATGCGAATAAACAAACTTCGGACCCTGTCGGCTCGGACCAACAAGCCCGAAAATGCCCTGCAGGCAGCCGTTTCGTTTCTCGTCGATATGGGCTATGATGAAGACTCTGTGTTCAATGCTTTGATGGAATCTAACGGTGACAGAGACATGGCCGAAAAGGACCTCGAATGGTGTATTCGGCAGAGAGCTTCCAGTGAGCCAACCTACCCGTAAGAACACTATGTACTTACATTTAGGCATCGCAACTGGTAATTCAGGAAATTACCATTGCGGTAATTTAAGTCATTTTAAAATAATCATTCGTTCTTCACTATTATTCTACGTCATTTATATCTTAGCTTTGCTTTTCGGTAGTCAACAAAATCATCTGGCCGGCCTCTTATTGTTTGCTTTTCGCAAGGATATTTCATGAAACGAGTGAACATTCGTGTCCGTCCTTGTGAATCGCTGTTTGTGTTCTTATGCGCACGATGTGAGCTTTTTGTATACTGGAAAGTAGTTCATCTAAATCTGATGTGGACGAGTCTTGACCTTGGCAACGCTGTGTCGGTGGTCATCTACAGGCAATCGTCTTAGCCAATTTAGTATTTTCTTAATCCTCTTGTTCCAGGAGAGTGCGCTTCGCTTCTCGAAATAGACCAGTAGCTCTTCGGCACATGGCGGTTTCTGTTTCTACGAATTCCCCAGATGATTGACCTATGCTGACATATTCGTCGGCAATGTCTTGCAAGTCAGGACGGAGGTCACATCGCAGGATTTAAGCTATTAGATAAAACCGTTGCCTTTACGATCCTCAGGCTGGGTTTGTCATGAGAGGCCAGTGTGAGAGAGATACGCTGTATTTCGAAAATATAATTCCAAAGTTTTCAGCAGTAAACTTCCTCCATTCACCATGAATTAAATAAGACACAGAAACCGAAATGTTCGACATCATAGAGAAACCTCCTTGAACATGTCACAAAAGGTAGGCCAAAGTAAACTTCCTTCAAATTGCCGCTAGCGTCGGGCGCTGATGTCCTCGTTGTTGTAGTTCAGATAAACACTAAGAAGTACTTGGCCAGTCAATGCACATGTAAGACAACTGACATATAAATTTAGGAAATAACAGAATGGCGGCTCAATTCCGAAATCCCGCGTCTAGAACAGTTTATTCTGTACAGAAAGAAGGGAAAAAAGGTGGGAGGAAGTCGACTGTCGGACTAGCGTAGATCTGCACCACACAGGTGGTGTCCAAAGTGCGGGCATGACAGCCGTCATCCCAACGGCCAGGGTGAGTGGTCTCTGTGTGTATCGGCCTTAGGAGGTGATTGGCCAGACTTATGGGCGTAGGCGGCCTGTGCGTGTGCACTTGTTAGTAGCGTAGAGCCTTCGCGCGTGATCATATGCACGGAGTGAATCAATATAACCGTACATAGTGTCCATGGGGGGTGTGTGGTGAAAATGGAAGTTGCATTCGCAGAATGACATGACCAAGGCAGCAAGGAATAAGTTTTCAAAGTATAATATGTAAAACGTTTCTGAGATTTCGAGTATCTACGAATTCAGCGCTTAAATCGATAGAGATGTAATTCAGATTTTTGAGGCATTATACGCAATTGCTGAGTCCACGTGGATATACAGGAATTTGTCCTAATAGTGAAGAGAATAAGATGGTCTGTAAGGCCGTCTGTCTCAGTCTAAAGGGCAGTTTTCGCAAAGCGTAACTTTTTAATTTTTCGTCGTATAGACAAAAGAACCAAAAGCTTTGGCCGGTGACTATTTTTCCTATTATGACTGCAATAACGCTAGTGACACAGACACTGATTTCATCATAGTGAATTAGCCATCGGAGACATATATTTGTTAACAGTAACATCGTAAATCTCCAGGGCGCTTGTCGTCTTCATTCCATACCTTGCATTTTTCGTACATACACTAGCTGGAGACGCCAACTATTCTGATGGATTAACTGTTTTAGACACAAGGCTGCAGAGCGAGCACTCAGAATTCGAGCGCTCGCGGCACGAATTGGCAAGTCGGAAACTGTTCTGCAGGCAGCCGTTCCGTACTTAGTCAATCAGGGATATGACGACGAAAGTGTGATAAAGGCCCTGACGGAATCAAACGGGGACAAAGAAATAGCCGAAAAAGACCTCGAATGGTGTATTCTGCAGAGAAATTTTAGTGCTCCAGCCTTCAGGTAAGAACGCTTTTAACACCAACGGAGTTCAGTTTTATACAACACCTAGACATGTAGGAAGTCCTTTCGGTTTAATAAATCCCCATGCTGTTAATCTTAGTTAGTAAAAAAATGTAGAATATCTGCGATTATGTTATGTCCTATTGGATCCGAGCCTTACATTTCCGTTGTCAAGATTATAAACGGGCCGGCCTCTGGTTCTGTACTTTGCGGTTACAATCTTCTTTCATGAGGATTGCCGGCTCAGCATAAATGGCAAATATTTGCTCCCATCACATTTAGCGTCCTCAGATATTTTATCTTCACGCAATACTCCTGAAGAGAAGGGCAAACTTTA